CTAAAATTAGGTACCATGGTCATGTTTTGGGATTTAGAGCTAAATTTATAAATATACCAGACCCATCTATCATGTATTCTAACAGTGCAGTTATTTACATAAATATCAATGTATTTGATGTATGCATTTGCTGACATATTAAAATTTAAAGATCTGTATTTTTTTTTTTCAGAATGCCAAGAAAAGGCCCAGCTTATAGTGTTACCTTTTCCATCCAAAAGTCTGTCTTTCCATTGTAACTCCAACATTTTTTTCTTTCCTAATGTCCTGCATTGAATTTGGAACTAATTTCATAGACTGTATGTTTTGTTTTTCAGGTCAAAGACAGTAACTGCATTTTCTCATCGAAATAGCAAGTAATTTGCATAGATTGTGTTTTGTTTTCAGGTTAAAGAAATTACTAACTGTATATTTTCTATTTAAAATTGGAACTAATATTTGAATAGATTTTGTGTTGTTTTTCAGGTTAAAGACCATAACTGTATTTTCTCATTGAAATTGGAAATAATTTGCAAATATTGTGTGTTTTGTTTTTCAGGTTCAGGACAAGAACTATTAATTTTCTCATTGAAATTGGAACTATTAATTTGCCTAGATTGTGTGTTTTGTTTTTCAGATTAAAGAGGGTATAACTATTATTTTCTCATTGAAATTGGAACTAATTTGCATAAATTGTGTTTTGTTTTTCAGGTTCAGGACAGTAACTATTAATTTTCTCATTGAAATTGGTACTAATTTGCCTAGATTGTGTGTTTTGTTTTTCAGATTGTAGAGCATATAACTAATTTTTTTCTCATTGAAATTGGAACTTTTTTCAGGTTTAAGACAGTAACTGTATTTTCTCATTAAAAATGGAACTACTTTGAATAAATTGTGTGTTTTGTTTTTCAGGTTCAAAACAGTAATTAATAAGTGTATTTTTCATTGAAATTGGAACTAATTTAAATACATTGTTTTGTTTTGTTTTGTTTTTTTTTCAGATTAAAGACATGTAGTAACTGTATTTTTTCATTTGAAATTGGAACTAACTTGCATAGATTTTCTCAGTTCTGTTTTTCAGGTTTAAAGAAGTAATTGTATCAGTTTTTTGTCATTATTGAAGTTGGAACTAATTTGGATTGATTGTGTGTTATGTTTTTCATGTTTAAGAAGCATAATTACTAACTGTATGTATTTTCTCATTGAAAGTGGAAATAATTTGCACAGATTTTGTGTTTTGTTTTTCAGGTTAAAGACAGTAACTATTGTCTTATTGAACTTGGAACTACTTTGATTAAATAGTGGATTTTTTTTTTTTTTGGTTTTGTTTTGTTTTTTTTCAGGTTCAAGAAGTTACTAATTGTATGTATTTCTCATTGAAATTGGAACTAATAGATTGTGTCTTTTGTTTTTCAGGTGAAAGACAATATATATATCCATTTTCTTGCATTAAAATTGAAACTTATTGGAATAGATTATGTGTTTGTTTGTTTGGTTTTTTTTTCAGGTTATAAACAGTAACTGTATTTTCTCATTGAAATTGGAACTAATCTGCATATATTGTTTTTTGTTTTCAGTTTAAAGACAGTAACTAATGTATTTTTTTTATTGAAGATACAACTTATTTGTAGATCATTGTCTGTCTGACTGTTTGCTTCAGGTCCCATTAATACAATTTGCAGATATTAAAGCAAACCTATAAATGCGTTGTTTATACTGCAGATATTGCAGCAAACCTATAAATGCTTTTTTTTATATAATGCACACTTCAGAAGCTGCATATTGAGAGGTATACCTTTCAGGCTTATCATTGACTATTGTTTAGGATTAAACTGTCTTTAGTTTCATCTGACAAAAAGATTGAGAATTAAAAATTATTTTGATAACCAAACTTGACCTGGTATATTTTAATGATTATTATGAATGTAAGAATTAGCATTGGGATGCACACATTGAATCAAAATTAACAATTAATGTAGTATTGTACACGACATTTCTGTGATATATCTGGGATTATGGGAATTTATTGTAGTATTGTACACATGACATTTCTGTGATATATCTGGGATTATGGGAATTTATTGTAGTATTGTACACATGACATTTCTGTGATATATCTGGGATTATGGGAATTTATTGTAGCATTGTACACTTGGCATTTCTATGATATATCTGGGATTATGGGAATTTATTGTAGTATTGTACACATGACATTTCTATGATATATCTGGGATTATGGGAATTTATTGTAGTATTGTACACATGACATTTCTATGATATATCTGGGATTATGGGAATTTATTGTAGCATTGTACACATGACATTTCTATGATATAACTGGGATTATGGTAATTTATTGTAGTATTGTTCACATGGCATTTCTATGATATATCTGGGATTATGGGAATTTATTGTGTTTTATACATGACATTTCTATGATGTATCTGGGATTATAGGAATTTATTGTAGTATTATACATATGGAATTTTCTATGATACATCTGGGATTATGGGAATTTATTGTAGTACATGTATTTTACACATGACATTTCTTTGATATATCTTGGATTATGTGAATTTATTGAACAGTAGTATTGTACACATGACAATTCTATGATATATCTGGGGTTATGGGAATTTATTGTAGTATTGTACACATGACAATATTCTATGATATATCTGGGGTTATGGGAATTTATTGTAGTATTGTACACATGACAATATTCTATGATATATCTGGGGTTATGGGAATTTATTGTAGTATTGTACACATGACAATATTCTATGATACATCTGGAGTATGGGAATTTGATGTAGTATTGTACACATGGAATTTGTTGTAGTATTGTACACATGACAATATTCTATGATATATCTGTGGTTATGGGAATTCATTGTAGTATTGTACAGATGACATTTTCTATGGTATATCTGGGGTTATGGGAATTTATTGTAGTATTGTACAGATGACATTTTCTATGATATATCTGGGGTTATTGGAATTTATTGTAATATCAGACCTGGCAACCCTTCCACTTTTGGCATAATTCTTCTGCTTTCTAAAACTAAAATAAGTTGTTATGCCATGACAATCAATTTTATGCTTTTAAAATTTTTATGCTGAAAAAATGCATTATTTAATAGTTTTTGGTTGGTCAGTTATGATTATTGCTTCCTTTGTATCATACTTTAACAGTACCATAAGCTCAAGAAGTATTTAACACAATTTATTGAATATCTTCTCGCTCAATTTAATGCTAGTAGGTTGTAATTAAATGTAAACTGTAATTTGCAATGACTTAATGAATGTTAGAATGTCGTCGTTTTACAACAAATGAAGTTAATGTTAATAATGAATGATTTAAAACGTTTTTACTCTCTTCATTTTATGATATATAGCAGGCAGAATTGTTTAGATGAGATAGAAATGCAATGAGATGACAAAATTGTAAAATTTGAAGAATTATGCTTTTGCCTCTGAAATTCCACCAAAATTAAGCTTTAGACTTCATTTCTGCAATGAAAAGGGTAGGCAGGTCTGTTGTGTTGTACACGACAATTTCTGTAATATCATCTGGGGTTATGGGAATTTGTTATATTATTGATCACATGACAATATTCTATGATATATCTGGGGTAATGGGAATTTATTGTAGTATTGTACACATGACAATATTTTATGATATATCTGGGGTTATGGGAATTTATTGTAGTATTGTACACATGACAATGTTCTACGATATATCTGGGGTAATGGGAATTTATTGTAGTATTGTACACATAACAATATTCTATGATATATCTGGGGTTATGGGAATTTATTTTAGTATTGTACATGTGATGTTTTCTATGATATATCTGGTGTTATGGGACTTTATTAGATTGTACATAAGTTATTATTTGTAATTTATCTTGGGGTTTTGGAATTTATTGTAGTATTGTACACATGACTGTCCTATCTATGGTTTATTTGAAGTAATTGGAATTTCTTGTAGAATTGCCACATGACAATTTCTTTGGGATTATGGAAATTTATTGTAGCATTGTATTTATGACATTTTCTCTGATTGATCTGAAGTTATAGGAATTTGGCATGATATTGTACAAACATTTTCTGAGAATTTTATATGGGGTGTGTAATGAAAATGCCATGGAGTGGAGAAATTCTAGATGCTCTTGAAAGCTAATTGTTGACCATGGAACTGTAAATGCTGACCTCTGTCTAAGCAAGGAAACTGTTAAGGTCACAATGAGTCTGGAATTGTGTGGATATACATGTTCAGTTCACTTTTTATCTGAGACCCAACAGAATACTGTACAAGAAGAGGCAAAGGAAACGACTGAAGACATGAAGGCGCTGAAGACGAGAAGCGATACCAGTTTTTGTATAAATACAGAAGCCAGTGCAGGTATGTTATTTACAAACTTGTTAATTAAGGAAGCTCTGAAAACTTCTTACTGAAGAGTTTTGATTCTAAGGAAGTTATGCAGTTGGAATGATCTGCCCTGTTTTGTAAAATGGAATAAACAGAAACAATTTACAGTAAATGACACAATATAAAAATGACTACTTGTATCCATAATATATTGGACCAAGATAAAGATCTTATTAAAAAAAAAATGTGTATATTTCCTTAATGAATTAGTAAACATCAGTGATTTTTGTTCCATAATACTTTTTTGGATATTTTACCTGGAGAAATACGGCAAGCACCTTTTGTCAAAGGTGAAGAAGATAAAAATCTACATTTTTATAATTGTATGATATAATTATTGATTTTCTTAATAGTGATCAGAAAACATTTTCATGCATGTTTATAAGAGCTTTCTTAAAAGATCTATTTAACCATGATTTTGTGGGAATAAATGATGTACGTATTAATATCCTGTTGTACAATGTAATTAAATTATACCAAAAGAATGACAAGTAGATGTCTCTTACAGCCAAAATCGACACTGATGGTAATCCCCATCTAAAGAACATCCTGCTAACTTGACCTTAGATTTACCGCCATTCATACCAGAAGTTTGAAATCAATGGAGAGGAGAGTGGCTATGGAGAAATATGCTGAGGAAAACATGAAGAAAGAAAACATGACGGCCTTAGTGAAAGAAATGATATTGTAAGCAAAATTATGATTTATAGAAAATACCTCTTACAAGGTAATTAATTTAAATGTAGTCTGTAGATCAAAAATATTTTGTGAACCCTATTTTAGCAAGATGATTTTTTGATGCATGTATTCTTGCAAAGTGAAATTTTAATAAAATTAGTTAATGATTTACAAATTGATCCTTTCTGAATTAAATATATATATGAGAGTAAAATATTCACTAACAGAATTCTTTCATAAGTACACAAAAATAAAGTTATTGAAAAAAAATGTGATTTAAAGTATAGATGTAAATACTGTAACCCAACTATTATTCATGTTATATCTTTTATTCGTGACTCGTTGGTTTGAAATCGATCCGCGACGATTAATTTTTGCAAATGAGGAATTGTTCTATACAAATACAAAGCAAAATAAATGGTTCGCAGTGATTAATATTCACGAGTTAAAGTAGGTTGTGAAATTGGCAAATATTTCTTGCATGCGAATAATAGTTGGTTTACAGTAATTAACATACAGTACATTTATAATTATAAGACAATTTTTTTTATTTTAGGGCTATTTCACAGAAGAGGAGGGAAGAATTCAAGAAGTTTTTCGGGATTTAGAGTTGGCTAAAATTTAAGATGGATTTTTTGGTAAATTTAAAATTTAACTTTTTATCATATTAGAAAATTATTTAAAGATGAAGGAGCAGCATTTATCAGTAATGCTAACTTCTGTTATGTTTCTCTTCAGAGATGTGACAATTATAGACTGGTAGAATTTATCTGCTGTGAAATTGACCAGGATGTATTTGACTGCCTTGATCAACTGTCCATATAATCATTATGGTAAATATCAAACTTCAATTTTAGCCATCTGAACACTTGCCAAGTAATGCCAAATTTTAATCCTAGCTAAAATTTCTGCTTTTGCATGTAGTAATGCGTATTCATGAATGATTAATATTCACGAGAATATAATTATTTTAATATTTAATTAGTTCTGGAGGGTCCAAACTCAAACCTAACATTCTTGAGGTACTACAAGCCTTAGGAGAGAAGCCATTTGCCAAAAAATGTCCAAAATACATTTGAAGTGATGATCATCGTCAACGGTAATTTTTTATTTTTTAAGATTACTACGTACTGTATTGTTCAAAAATGCGTAGAACGCAGGTATGGATTCTGGCAGAGGTGCTTCATACGCTAAATTGCCCCCTCTAAAACAAAAAAATAAGAGATAATTTTCATTGTCTTACATTGATGTAAGACAGTCATTTATGATATTGATATAAAGTGATTTATGTGCTAAAATAAGATTCTACAAATTGTGAACTATCAGGAGCTTGGGGGGGGGGGGCTTTTCCCCAAACCTCCAACTGGACCCTGCCTCTCTGGGACCTCAGCAGAACCAATGCCCCTTGCCATTTTAAAGTACCTTCTCTGGGAAAGCAAAATCCTGGATCCACACCTGAAATGCACTTGTGTGAAAGATTTTGTAACTTAAGATTTTGATATAGTTCTGGAAAGCTAAGCTTTACTCATGATGTCTGTCAATACAGAGTTTGAGCTATTTTTATTAATTTTTTTCTTTCGCGAACAAACAGTCTAACTTGTATTATTGTAGGATAATAAAGTTCTTGTGAATAAAAAGGGATTAACAGTTCTAGTCTTGAAAAATTTACTTCTTCTATTCAATTAAAGTTATTGAAATCAAGTCGGTTAATAATCAACTTGAATTATTATTACATTTACACATTTAAATGATTCTCTTCTAGAAGGTTTATTCCAGAATTGGCATAGATCAATGAATAATATTGAAAATAACCTTTAAATCATTTTAAAAATTTTTTAACGGATTTGGTTCTTTTATTATTTCAGGCTTTGGGTAAAGGTTGTCTGTAATTGCCAAGTCAACATTTACCAAGCCAATATCTGGTGCCTCTCGCAAGCTGAAGAATATATAGAAAAACCAACATTCATCACATTTGATCTTGCAGCTACCAGACTTGGTAAGTTGTTCAACTAAGATCCTAGTTTTGGCAAAAAGTGGTTGTTTCTATCATTATCTATCATTAACTTTGTCTAAAAACTTGTATGCTAAATATCACAGTAAAAAATGAAAATAAGGGGGGGGGGGTATTTCTATAGACTTATATCTAGAACATTATTTTTAGGCAAAATTGGGTTGTTTCTATTATTATTATCTGCATTAATACCCTTAATACTTGTACTTTATATATCATGGTAAAAAAATATAATTTAATATTGCATTTCTATAGTGTTGGACAAGGAGCCTTGCCCTGTATTACTCAAACTGGAGCGGTGGAGGTAGAGTCCGGGGATATTTTCACTATCTGTGTTCTTCCCAGAATTCCTATATGGCCTGGAGGTAGACTCGGGAGATATCAAAATTTCACTGTCGTGTTCTTCCAAGAATTCCCTTAGAGTCTGGAGCAGAGCAAACCACCAGAATAGTCTGCAATGGAACCTTAGTTTTTGCTCATGGATAATTTTGACAACTTTATTGTATTATTGTACAGACGGCATTTTCTAGGGTTAAGGAAATTCAGTGTAGCATTGTACTGACATTTTTATGAATTATCTTCGGTTACGAAAATTTAATTTTGTATTGTTTACTTGATATTTTCTAGGATTTATCTGGAGATATAGAAATTAATGCATTATTGTATTATACTTTATATGATTTATTTGGGCTATTTTAATTATTCATGATCAACAGTATAACTCTCTCTGTGGTAAGTTATGTGTAAGTTATTTTTCTTTGAATTGTCTTGAATTAATATGAATTTTAAACAGTATTGTATACTTTATTATTTCTATGATATACCTGGGGTCATTGAGATTATGGGAATTTATTGTAGTATTGTATACTTTATATGATATTTCGGGGTTATTTGGGATGATGGGAATTTATTGCAGTATTGTATACCTAATAGTTTTTATGATGTATGTGGAATTAAGTGGGATTATAGGGATTTCATGGAGCATTGTATTCTTTATAGTTTTTATGATATATTGGGGGTTAATGGGGTTATGGGAATTTCACTTAGTAATCTACACTTTATAGTTTCTTAGATATATCGGGGGTTATTGGGGGTATTAGAATTTCATGTTGTTTTGTATTTATAGTTTCTATGATTTATTTGGGGTTGAGGGGATTAGGAAATTTCATGTAGTATTGTGTACTTTATAGTTTCTGTAATATATCTGGGGTAATTAGGGTTACGAGAATATCATGTAGTATTGTATACTTTATAGTTTCTATGATTTATTCGGGGTTAATGGGGTTAGGGAATTTCATGTAGTATTGTATACTTTATAGTTTCTGTAATATATAGGGGGTAATTAGGGTTACAAGAATTTAGTGTAGTAGTGTATACTTTATAGTTTCTATGATTTATTCGGGGTTAATGGGGTTAGGGAATTTCATGTAGTATTGTATACTTTATAGTTTCTGTAGTATATAGGGGGTAATTAGGGTTACAAGAATTTAGTGTAGTAGTGTATACTTTATAGTTTCTATGATTTATTCGGGGTTAATGGGGTTAGGGAATTTCATGTAGTATTGTATACTTTATAGTTTCTGTAGTATATAGGGGGTAATTAGGGTTACAAGAATTTAGTGTAGTAGTGTATACTTTATAGTTTCTATGATTTATTCGGGGTTAATGGGGTTAGGGAATTTCATGTAGTATTTTGAACTTTATAGTTTCTGTAATATATAGGGGGTAATTAGGGTTACAAGAATTTAGTGTAGTAGTGTATTCTTTATAGTTTCTATGATTTATTCGGGGTTAATGGGGTTAGGGAATTTCATGTTATATTGTATACTTTATAGTTTCTGTAGTATATAGGGGGTAATAAGGGTTACAAGAATTTAGTGTAGTAGTGTATACTTTATAGTTTCTATGATTTATTCGGGGTTACAGTCCCTGAAACGTTCTACTTTCCCACTTGAACGGTGAGCGAACGCTGAACGAACGGTGAACGAACGCTGAACGAACGCAGAGCGAACGGTGAGTGAACGATGTGTGAACGCTGAACGCAACTTGGTGAACGATGTGTGAACGGTGAACGGTGAGCGAACGCAGAACGCGAACGGAGCGCAAACGCGAACGCAAAGTGAACGGTGAACGAACGGTGAACGCAAGATGAACGATATATTCGGAATGCCTCTGATCTTTTCCTTGCATTGAAACTATTTTATTGTATTATAATGTCAGGTGCCAAAAAAAATAATAAATAAGTTAACCAATAAATGAATGAATAAATAAGTAAATAAAATAAATTCTCCAAAATTGTCCTAAGAAAGACGATTCATGCACATTAAGTTTTTAATCACACGATTTTTAACGCATTAAAACATTACAATTGTTGCCGAACGCTGAAGTATAAAAGATATTTTTTTAGTTGGAAAATAAAAATGTTTATTCTTAATTGATAACAAATCAGAGAAAACTTCTGACTTATAGAATGAATTAAAGCGATTGTAACATCCATTTATATATGTATCTCCGTGTCAAGGCGATTTCATGTAAAGTAATAAAAAAAATTAATTACAAAGGTCAGTGGACGTTTTGCATTTATACGCTCGTATTTTAAATGTTTGATACAATAATATATTATGTGTCATTTCTATTTTTCATGATGATTTATTGAGCCGAATTCTACATGTATCTGTAGATGGCTGTGATTATACTCAGACAAGATAATACAAAGATACATATTCATATTATTTGTTATAAATTCAATTTTCATAACTTGATATTTAAGTAATATGCTGTTATAATTTTTATCAAACAGACAAATGAGAGAGAGAGAGAGAGAGAGAGAGAGAGAGATTCCGTTTCAGCCCCCCCTTCCTTTCAGGCTTCACTAAATGTTTGCACCTATATCAAACAATAACTCTGATATTTTTTTTCTAAATATATTAGACAGTGAAAGTAACTCTTTTTTTTATCAACAAATCATATCCATCTGTTTGACAGTATTACTCTTTTTAAATTTTCCTGCTTCAAGTTCACACGAAGTCCACGTGCTTGTCCTGTCAATCAAAATCATTCGACACTGTGCAGGTGTGAAAGTTTCGTCACATCGAAGACGAAGTGCGAGTATTTCCAACAAGTTTATAACATTTATTTTTATCATTTCTAGATTTGATACCAACATTTGAATAATTAGTGAATAAAATATATTGGGCATTAACACTTGAATTTGAAACATACTCTCTGCCAATTTCAAATACCACCGCCGACACGTGTACATTTTGAACTACTATTGTTTTGTGACTTTTTTTAGATGCATGTTTGCTTTGAGACTGAAATTTTTGTTCTAAAAAAGACCTTAACTTTTTTTTAACAGGTTAATTAAAATTTTCTGGAAATACAGTACTGACTAAGTAACAGATTTAGGGGAAAAGGGGGGGGGGGGTATTAATTATATCGAATAGCAAACATATAAAGTTACGGTGAAGAAAGATTTCTTCTCTATAACTATAGACTTTACATACATGTATTATAGTAGCGAATATTCTGTAGTGCATTACATTTTAAATAAATATTTCCTTTAAACACACTATCAATTTAATTCGCTCCAAAGATAATAAATTTACAGGATATCCGCAGTACTATGTATAACTCTAAGAACTAGTTCTATCATATTTTCTGTAGTAATTGAATTAAAAAAACGCGTTAGAAATAAATATTTTCGTAATTTTGCTGCGTAATTATTTGACTTGGATAATTATATCTCCATTAACGATTTGTCGTCTTTAACAAAACATCAAAATGTTGCAGTGCTTGAAGTATTTGCACATTGGCCTTAGTTAAATTTAATATTTCAGCATCGTTCTACATAGGTACAGGATGTGCTTATAACAACATTTTTTTTCCAGAGTAATTTAATAAATAACCTAATAGCTAAGTTAGAATAATAAAAATATATATCTTAGATTTTTCCCCCATGAAATAATGATTCTTCAAACACGATATGTTAGTATTAAATTAAAAAATCTGTAACTCCTTACCTACAAAAAGATAAGTCCTTTC